TACAAATTATCACTCACTACCATAAATTTATCAGCATCGACCCAAAAAATTAAACATAATCGTTATACAATGTACGAAATTTGTGGCACAGTAATTCTTCAGCCACATAAATCTATAATGCAGGGGTCAGATATCAATTTAGCACCAAAATTGTATAAAATTATACCTAAAAACTTACATTTCGGAAATTATTTCAAGAGAAATTTGAAAAAGTGGCTACATTCTGTATCTAGGACTGAAATTCATAAGCTCATAAATACGAACATCAGATAATTCATACTCCACTGTGACTAATATTTGTCCTTATTTTATAATTTGCATTCTACTCTTACATCTTCAAATTATATATATATATATACATTGAGTGAATAAATATTATTCTTATTCTTATTATTATGGGCAAAACGAAATAACTGCTAGCTATTCGTTTCAGGGTAAAAAACAGGGAACCCAACAAGAAATACATCAGCTATCACTGGCAATTTTTAGTGGAGGCATGGTTTTGGCGCCTATTTTTCAAATTGGAGATATGTAACGATTTTTGAAATCATTCTTTCGATAATAATTACAAGTAGATTTTTAAGAAAAATACAAACAACCGGCTTGCAGTAACTGAAAAGAATTAAGATTGAATTGTGCTAGCAAGAGAGATCTAAAGGCACCTCGTATGTCAAAATCAACTGTTTTGTTGAAACATATCATTTTGTTTTCATAAAATTTTAACATATACAGTGTCACTTACTCTGCTAAGGTAAATCCAGCAACAATTCATGTGTCAAAATCCATCAAACCGCTTAATCTGTAACTGATGAAATGAGAGTTTTAACGTTGAACTTTTTTATTAAAATCCGTCATTTTGTTTTCAATACGGCTGTCACTCGCATTGCTAAAATGAATCCAAAGAGACCTCATGTTTATAAGTCCATCAAGCCTTTTGGCCTGTACAACATGAGATCAATTTTTTTTATAGATACCAACGCTTTAAAAACCTACATACTTACATAATACCGTTTATAAAAATTTACAAAAATTCTTGCATATCTGGGATCGTACCCGAGATCGACAGAGTTTTTACGTAAAAACCCTATATAATCTCGAAAAAAACAATAAAATGGCAACTTGTTGACTAGGTAGGCTGGTGTGCAAATAGTTCGTTCCACGCTTGAAGTGAACGACAGAAAGTTGCAAGTTGTCGTGTTGTAGGAAAAAGTACATAATGTCGTAAAGAATCTACATAATGTCAAAACGAAACCGACATAATATTTCTTTTCAAGTTCCGTATTACCCCTGCCGTTTCTTGGTAAGTCTGGTGCGTATTCCAATTTTTCAGTCGTATTTACAATCTCCAGCACAATGCATTTTTCAAGTTAATCGGATGCCTAGATAACGAGTATGATGTCACTTTTTGATTGAACTTGACAGGAAAATACAGAAGTCCCATGTTCCTAGTTAAAGTATCCCTTCCCGTTAGTTTTAACTTTTTTTGATAGCCATGTTCATCACCTTAGGAAAAACAATTATGTTGCTGGTCCAGTATATCCTAAGTAATATTCTTCATCGAACATTTCTGGCATGTTCGTTATTCAATTCGTTCAATTAAGATAAATACGCAAACGTTTTCCCAACAACTCTCAGATTGTACCTCGTCCAATCAGCTTTCAGCAGTTCACTGTTCATTCCCCTGCAGCAGGAAAATTTGAATTCTGTGCAGAGGTCCAGTTTCCAGTTCTGCTAACAAAGCGTCTGAGGAGGTTCGAATTGCGCAAAAAAGGCGGACAGGACGCTGGGAATGATGAAGAGAAAAGGAGGAATGAAGTGAAGGGGATATTTCCACTTCAAATGCCGGACGTGATAAAACAAAACAAATGTCCGAGGCTTTAAAATAGATTTTTCGAGCTGAGACGCTCAAGGGTCCGCAGATTCGTTGTGTACTCAGCTGGCGACAAGGAGGGACTCCTTTCTTTGAACGAAGCTTTTATTGCTCCAAAACAAATATGACGTAGATTTTCAATTAAGGTAAAGATATTAACTTACAAGATGTAGTCTTAAAATGAGTTTATATTACGCAGGTGAATCAAATATAAACAAACACTTTTCAGTTGAGCCTAGGTTGGTTCCTCATTAAGTAACTGCAAAATGGCAAAGACAGCGATATGAACGTGATTCCTCTTATTTTGGAACTAGCAACGTCAAGATACTTGAACTATGTGTTGTAACTTTTTATATTTACCACACAGCCGTTTGAGCCCTTAAGGTAATTTCTCAACTTCAGGAAGAAAAAAGTCACAAACACTGAAGTCAGACGAATAAGGAGGATGAGGAGCCACAGGAATGTTTTGCTGGCAAAAATATGTCTATTGACATTACTATGTGACAAGGAGCGTTATCGTCATGCATCACCCAGTTGTTCTTGATCTGATGAACGGTGGTGTGAGTCAGCGTCAACCCTTCCCCCATCATTGTGACTGACAACCGACGATCTGAACGCACAAGATCCCGAATTCTGTCGATATCTCCTCAGTCCTTGAAGATATCCGTTCTCTTGACAAAACACTTCCTCCGTGGGCCTGCTGAAGTTTAGCAAGAATTTCTGTTGCTATGTGCCCAAGTTTAAAGCAAAAATTGATAGCACACCGTTGCTCAAAATTGATGTCACTCATTCTTTTCACAAAAAATCGCTACGGACAACAAATGGCTCAAGCGAGTTCAATCTTGTACTGAAGGTGGATCACATATTCTACTGTCCCCCCTCCAAGCCCGGCGCCTCCAGTGTTGTCACATCGAACGCTACGTTGCCAATCTCGTTACTTGATTTACAGACCGTAAATCATTTAGCCATTCCACGACAGGTGACATTTACAGTTGCACAGGATGTGTGGCGTGGGCTAGCGACTAGCTTATACATAAATGGCAAGAATGACGATCATAATGATTAGTTTACATAATACTGCTGTCGGTCTCGTAAGGAGACTGCAATGTATATCATAAGAGGAAGGGGCCGCTATAGTTTGATAATGGCATAGAAGTGCCACACGTTCCTTGAAATTAGTACCTAGTAAATTTCGATCACCGAGAATTACGTACACCCTGCGATTGTACAACGTAGTTCTATCAAGTTTCTCGTCAAGACAAATGCTTGCTTGTCCGAAATTTGGTAACGGTTACTCTGTATCGAAGAGGTCGGGTAGAGGCAGACGAGGGTTCAGTGGTGAAAACAAAAGAAACGGTTGTCTGAAGTAAGGTTTTGCTCACGGATTTCTGGGTTTTTAAAGGCATCTTATTGGTATATTTATCCCGAAAATGCTAAAACCATATCATTTCAAACTTCTTAGTAAAAGACCCGACACCATAGCACATCCGCCTAGATCAGTCACCTTAGAACCCAGACCTGACACCATATGAGTTCCATACGTTTGGACCAATACCTAATGTAAATCTTCATTAGTTCGAGAAATTTCTAAACATAACCACGTCCAATCATTGCAGCAACAAAGTATTTGGTTGAATTACCACACTGTACGCCATACGATAATACGATTTTTTGCATTCTGGCAGGACATTAGTGGATGAAACTATGGATAGCTTCCGTGATGTTTGTCTTAGATTATTTGCGTATGTTTACCTAGACAGCTCGTGTACCTTATCGAGCGAATGAGAAAATTATACTGAAGGGCACGCCGGCCAGATTCTTCCTAATGTACAAAAGATAAAGCTGATATATGGGATATTTCAAATCAAAACTCCGAAACATCTATAAATAAAGACCATTCCGAGAAAATCTTTATCTCCGCCAATGGAAATTCAAATGTTTTGTCTTAAATTTCCCCATTCCCAAAGTTCTCGAATATGCCATGTATCGCCTTAGTTCCGGTTGAGAACTTAAAGATAAAGGATCCCTCAAAAGAAGAAGTTTAGTAATAGGAATTTCAATGAGGTTCAGAACTATCGTATAACTTTTGTGAGGATGTGGCCCTTCCGCCTCGTTTCAATCACAGACGGCTGAATGGCGCATCAGATTTACGAATCTGCTACCAGAAGATTAACATGGACTAGGAGAAGGGGTTAAAATTGAACCAGCGATATCTTCAAGTATCAGGTAACTAAAAATTGTTGCTGAAATACAAATAAGAGATGCTTTGCTGTCCTACGTCAATTATATTTTAACACTTAATACTTGATTTTAGTAGTGGAAAAATTACATAAGAAATCATGATAATGTCGAAAGTTATCTACTCAGACTTAGTAGGTATATCATCCATTCGTAGATTCTATATCCGAGAAACGTTTTCAAAAAATACAAAATTCCTGTTTTAGATTGATTTTCAACAAGCGAAGGTATGATCATATTAGCTCGTATTTTGTAAAAACTGAATCGGTTAAAAGTAGCAAAATTATTTAACTTTCACTTATTATGCTCGCTGCACAAAGCTCTAACCACATCAGTACCTTTATTTATGAAGGCAATACTTCGTTGTGAACACGTTAACCATGCCTTTTCACAAGCCATCATTCTTCCATGGGTGCTTAACTTGTAATACCATTACACTATACCATGCATTACCACTACCTACGAAGCTTCTAAACGTCAACGATTTCAAAAGACATGTTAAGAAAATATCATTTTTGAACAACAAATTTCAGTATTGCTTCGGCCGTCTACGAAGACAGATGTGTATTTCGTAGCGATTAATTTACGGGTGAAACGTGAGAAGTAGCGAACAAAAGACGTTTAGTAATCATTATCATGCCTCCACCTTCCATGGGGGTGGGAGGCCCTCCATCAACCGGAAACGGCGGAAACGGTACAAATATTGCAATTTATGACCTAACGTATAGTGATGACCTGCAAATGGAACACGATGACCACAATGCCACCTAGAATGGGAATAAATCGCCCGTACCTGGTAATTCGGATGCCGGTGCTGTAAACACACAGCCACGACTATTCAAAAAGGAAAATGCTAAGTATTATTCTAATAAAGATATTTACGTATTTATAGAAAAGTCAAACGATCAGAATATAGGTAGAATACATCCATTGTTTGTGGGACATTTATTACATAAAAAACTCAAAATGAGCAGTAAAATAACAACTATAAGTCGCGCAGGATTAAATCGAACCAAAGTAGGGCTCAGGAATTTTGAGGATGCTAATGATCTAGTTTGCAGTGATGCGCTTAAATCTGAAAATCTAAAGGCTTACATTCCAAGTAATTTGCTCATAAGAAAGGGTTTGATTAAAGGAGTAGACACTTATTTTACCGAGGAATACATGGACGATAACATAACATCTAAAATCAGTGTATTGGATGTAAAAAGATTAAAAAGAAGGATAAACAACAATGGCGTACAGGAATTTGTCGCGAAGCAAATGGCTGTCGTAACATTTGACGGTAATTTATTACCAAACGAAATAAGTATTAATAGCGTGTTATTTCAAGTAGAGCCTTTTGTCCAAAGAGTAATTCAATGCTACAAATGTTTGCGCTTTGGACACGTTTCTGGTCAGTGTCGTAGCACTCACACCCGATGTGTCGTATATTGTCAAATAAAAGAAGAAGGCCATAACTGTGATGACAGTAACACATATTGCCTATATTGTAAGAATTCCAACCACCGATCCACCTCAAAGGACTGCCCTCCCTTTCAGACACAACAAAAAATAAAAAAAAAACTATGGCATTGTCTAACATGACTTTCATAGAAGCCAAGGAATTGACTGAAAACTCAAGTCACGTAGCAACCTCTAACAAGTTTGAAAGCCTACACACCATCAGCGAAGCAAATTTTCCCTCTTTGCCCAGCCATCCTCAAGCTAAGTCTTCAAGCAACACTTCTTCACATATATCTAACCGAACATCTACCCTCACTAGTTACAATAAAAAACGCAAAGTCCAATCTCCTCCAATAAATTTCCCCAACGAACAATTTTCTTTCTATGCGGGACCTTCCACCCCTATTACATCTAGTAAAACATATCAGTTAAATTTAGTAGAAAAGAATGATATTGTAGACATTTTTTCGAAAAAATTTTTGCACATCATTAGTAATTTTAATAATTTTGATGACCTGAAGAGAATTGATAGCCAGAAATTGAGAGATGAAGTAACATCCATAATAGATAATCTATCTAATCTTACTTAATACATTCGCTCATACAAACAATCTATTAAAGGTGATGCAGTGGAACGCACGTTCCGCCGTATCAAATCGTAACAGCCTCTCTGAATTTCTTTCAAAGAATATATGGCTATAGTATGTGAAACGTGGTTTAAGCCTAATCAAGTCATCAGATTTCATGGTTAAAACATTGTTAGGAGGGACAGAGTGGATGGAAAGGCAGGTGTAGCTATCTTTGTTAAAAAAGGTATCAGTGAAATAATATTCCAGAATAATTACAATGAAGATATTCTTGTTTGTGGAGTAAAATTAATATGTGATCTATCATTTTGTCAATCTACAAACCTCCTCACATAAATTCTTCTATTAGTGATTGGGAAGCTATTTTTGCTTATTCTAACACATCTTGCATTATAGGGGGTGATTTCAATGCTCACTCTCAGCTTTGGGGATACACTAGTTCCAACGCAACAGGTAATCAGTTGATTGATATTTCTGCATCAAGGAGTTTAGTGATAAATAATGATCGATGGATCTTCCACTCGTCTCACATCTCCAAATCAGCAGCAATCGGCACCAGATATCACTTTTTGTTCTCCAGACATTGCACAGCTGTGTTACTGGCAAGTTACATTAGATACCCTAGGATCTGATCATTTCCCAATTATTATGTCTATCCAAAAGCTATACCAAAACCTAACATCATTTATCCTAACTATAAATGGAATATCAAAAAGGCCAATTGGCAATTAAATCAAAGGTTGTTAGGAGACATATTTAACTCGTTGCCTATACTGCAATCTACCAACAGCAAATATGACTATTTCATTCAAAAAGTGAACGATGTCAGTGAAGCTACTATCCCAGTACTAAAGCCATTTAAACCAAAAAAACGGCCTCCTTCTCCGTGGTGGGACGAGGAATGCACAAATGCTATTGAACGAAGAACTAACGCACTGGCATCATATAAGCATGATAGTTCTTTAGCTAACTTTATATACTGCAAAAAAGTGTTTGCTGAAACCAAAAATTTGTTTAAGAAAAAGTCTAAACACAGCTGGAAATATGGGTCTCGAAACTAAATAAGAACACTCCAGCCACAGAGCTATGGAACCAGGCTAGAGTTGCAAAACGAATCCCTTTCACACAAAGGACAGCATCAAGTTTCGAGTGGTTACATGAGTTTCACACAAAATCCGCACCATCCTCTGTAGCACAAGAAACTGAACCCGCACCACCTTTAGCACAAGACAATTTTTTCAGCAGACCGTTTATCCTTGAAGAATTGAATTGGGCTTTAAAAAGCTCATCGAACACTGCTCCTGGAGTTGATGATATCAGATATCCCATGTTGATCAACCTCCCGATCAATGCCAAACGATTTCTTTTTGATATATAGAACAACGTGTGGCTGAATGCAGATACGATAGATCAGTGGAAAAACTTAATAATAGTTCCAATTTTAAATCCCAATAAGGATCCAAACTGTGCAGATTCATATAGAGCTATCTCGCTACTGTCTTGCCTCATGAAGATCTACGAAAGAATGATAAAAAATCGCTTGGAGTGGTGGTTTAGGTCTCGTCCTCTTCCCGCAAACCAATTTGCATACAAAAAGGGCACTGGAACTACAGATGCGATCATGAATATCGTTACAGACATACAATTATGTTTCTCCCGAAACAACTATTTAGGAGGCATATTTCTCGATATTACAGGTGCCTACGATAATGTCAACTTGAACATGCTCCGTCTAAAACTTGAAAGTTTTGGCATTCTTTCGTATTTCTCTTTTGTTATAACAAACCTTTATTATTCAAGAAATATTTACTTGAGAAATAACTGTGGTGGTAAATTAGGTCCTCGTCAGATATCCATAGGTATCCCACAAGGCTCGGTCCTTAGCCCTGTTCTGTTTAACATTCTTTCGTCTGACCTTCATGACCTACAAACCAGTTGTCAATTGATCCAATATGCAGATGACATTTGCATCTATTCAGAAAACCGCCTACTTGACCATTGTATTACAGCACTTGACTCGTCTATGGTGTCCCTCAAAAAGTGGTTTTTCGAAAACGGTTTTTCCATATCACTAACGAAACTTGACAAAAAGCTCTCATGGAAACCATTTATAGAGCAGATAGTTTGCAGGTGTGAAAAGGCATTCAACTTTTTCCAAATGATCTGCAAAGTTTGGTGGGATGCAGACCAGAAAATAGCAATTGTTCTATCGCTCTTATATTAGATCCATTCTTGATTATGGTAGTTTTCTTTATGGCTCGGCAAGCAGAAATCTACTTAAAAGGTTAGACATTATTCAGAATAAGTTTATCAGAAAATGTCTTGGTGCTATGAGATCTTCACCAGTTGAACCACTACGGGCAGAAGCTCAAGAGCCTCCATTACATCTTCGTAGAGATATGTTAGCGAGCAGATTCCTACTGAAAATGCATCAAAACAATTGTGCTATACTACACAAAACTTACCAGCTTAATTCACTTGATCTAATATGTAAATACTGGACCAAAAGGAATTCTCCGCCTATATGCAGTGCTATTCAGTCTACAACTATTTTGCACAACACTATAACTGGCACTTATCCCCAATGTGCAGACTATTTCGAATCAATTCGAGAGATCAACATTTTAATTCCTCCCTACAGCCTACAACAATTAATTCTGAATCAATTTCGAGACTTCCAGAACAGTTTATCAGGTAGCATCTGTATATACACAGATGCATCAAAATCAGATTTAGGATCGGGATGCGCCTTTTATATACCTTCCTTGGATCTTTCTCGCAAGTACAAACTCGAACCTGAATTCTCAATGTTCTCTGCTGAAGCTGTTACGATTTTGCAAGCTCTTTCCTTCGCAGATGACAATAATCTAGGTGCTATATCCATTTTTTCAGACTCACTGTCAGTCCTGAATAGCCTCAAAAACTTGAAACCTCATGACTTTAACAATAATCACATCATGAGCATAAGAAATAAAATATGCCGTTTAGATAGAAAAGGGCATAAAGCTACAATGGTATGGGTGAAGGCCCACTGTGGAATCACTTATAATGAAATTGTTGATCAATTAGAGAAAGACAGTATTATTGATGGCTCTACAATAGGCATTCCTTTAAACACCCAAGATCAACAATTAGTTCTTAAACGTAATCTGAAGATGGGATGGCGTGTTGAATGTAGTAAATACTGTCAAACTAATCCCACACGATATACCATGTTATATCCAATGCTTCCAGAATCTTACTGGCACAATAACTATAAAATTCCTAGGAAATATTTATCCATCATCATCCGAACAAAAATTGGACATGGTACATTTCCTTCACACCTAGCTAGACTCAATCTGCGCTCATCTGATTTGTGTGATGCTTGTGAAGAGCATGGAGATCTGGATCATTATTACTTTGGCTGCTCCAGGTTTCTAATTCACTCCAATATACTCTACAACAATCCTCTCAAATGTGGTCTAGCTGCTCCACTAAACACGGCGTATATATTTTGGTTAAATAGGTCTGATGTTGTCTTCTATATCGCCCAATTTATTAAAAATTCAGGCATGGTAATCTAGGGCTTGTTACTAGATATCCTGTGTTGTACACCTCCGTTATTATATCCCTACGTACCGTGGCCTATGTATGGTGTGTCTACCAATAAATGCCCTGACGGGTCTCTGGGCGAGAAGAATTTGTGTCCCTGTCAAATCCTCATAATAGGGTTGTACACAAGGTACAAGCTTTATGTATCCCCAAAGCGGAAGTTTTTTTTCCACCCTTTAGAAAAAAACAATGTCTGCACATGCCTACTCTGTGTTTCCTTCCATTTAAATAACCACGATAGCTCTCGATAAAGATGAAGTGTCTGGCTAATGGAACTAGATCCTAGTGCCAATAATAAAAAAAAAACAACAAATTTAAAGACAATCATCACACCTCATTTCTCTAAATGAAATAATTCTGATATCAATGGTGGATTTATGTGAGATTTATATGATACTTCTATTCAGTAGGTACTGTACTATGATTTATACATTTTGTTCTATTTATATATTTCTGATGTTAATTTATTTTGTCAAGGATTAAATGGCAGAATAGCTATAAGCTAAACTTCGCCCTAAGTGAAGACGATTTATTATTATGTTTTATTTAACAATTATTTGCTCCAGCCAGCACGAAAAGTGAGGATGCGCGTGTTCTGCGCTTACAGAACGGTAGCAAAAGTTGCACTACTTATGGTAGCTGATGTCTCCCCAATTAATTTGGCGCCTGAGGAGATAGGCATACTTTATGAAAAGGACGCCAAAGCTAGAGATGGTAAAAGAGAGTTGCTTTTTTTAGATGGCGAGAGAGATGGGATGCAACTGATTTCATATATCGAGACCAGGATTGGAAAGGGAGAGGGACAGGATTATCTTGACAGCTATCTGAAAAAGTGCGTATATTGCAATGACAAGGAGGATACTCCGGATCATCTACTCGAGTGTGGTAAATGGATTGACTATCAGAGACTGCTCGATTTAACGCTCGGCGAGAAGCTCACCGCTGACAATTTTACCAGGCATGTAAGGTAGACAAAGAAACCAACAGCATGTTGCTACGTTAGGCTATGCATGTACATAATAAGTACATAGGTATATGTGCGACATTGAAAATAAGATGACAAAGTACCTTTTGTATGAAAACCTAGTGCAAGCTACCCGCCATGACGAAAGGCTGCAAGCATGACCGTGGTGGGTTGTGGAGTGAGGGGTTTCAGTATGGCGTGTTTTTCGAGAATCTCACACTTCGGGTAAGAAAGGCTGACAGGGCAATACTATCGAGGTTTTTTTTGTATCTGAAAGTGGTTATAGAAGCTTTCCGCTGTCAAAACAAGGTACCAGGAGAAAGAAAAGCTAAACAAACGACATCTTCAGGTATCTCTACAGGTAACTAAAAAATGGATTTTAAGTGACAATTATTTTCTCAAACTAGTTTTATCAGATGACGTAATCTCATAGATTCTGTAACTAGAGAAGGCCTGTATTTTTCATAATATAAAGAATATCGAATTCATCGTCAAACTTGCAGAGGTAAGAATATAATACTATACAAAATTATTTATAACATAATTATATTTTACTACTTTATGTCGAACGTTTAAGTTGATTCCGCTATTAAATAATTTAGTGGAACTGCACGACAAAGTATATTTGGTGTGCAATTTTGCTGCATATTTAGGCAATAGCGAAAATAAATTGATCAAATAATTCACCCTTTAATTTTCAACTCAAGCGAAAAATCGACACCATAGGCCAATTACATAACCCCGGACGGCAACCAATGCATTTATAAAATCAGATTGAACCCAGAATTTATTTTATTCATTTATATAATAAAAAAGAGATTTCCTCTCTGCCTACCAGTACATATACAAGGTGAGGTGTATAAAACCAGATAGATATTTTCTTTATCCCAATGTTACTGCTCAAAATAGATATAACAAGGCATCCAAAATATGCAGCTGCCTATTTACATAATCAGTTACATTATCAATGGCCAGCACCCGTAAAAATTACATTTATGTAAGTTTTTAGTACATTTCTAACATAATGATGTCGAAAGCAGAAAGGAAGACCACAACTTTGCAAAGTTCTTCACTCAGTATCTATGGTCATAATAATTAATGGTTGAATGGTATGTATAATGCATCATTGTCGAGGAGAATCTCACCGTACCTCACTCGGGAGAGAGGGGGTCTAATCAAATGTCATATAATTTTTTTAATAAAAAAACAGTGTGCAATTGCACGAAAATTGGATGAACTCATAGTCAAACATGATTTTAACTAAAATCTGGCAAAATCTGACACGATAATATTTATCGTTGTTACTACGGTCTACACTAGTCTTAAGTAAAAATAATGATGCAAATTGTGTAAATGAATCCAACACATTTGCACTAAAATTACAAATTTTGAAAAATCTCAGATAAGGAGTTGGGGTAGGAAGTCGACCCAAGTCTCTCAACATCACCCCATACCAACGTGATGTGCTATGCTTATATGCGAGAGTGAACAAAAATGCAGCATCCAAATTGCTGTATAGCACCTACGGATAACATCATAATGTTCTAACAAGTCAAAGAGAATATGAAGGATGTCATGATTAGGCATAAACACTCGCCATATTGGATAAAAAATATAGACCTCTATTGAAAACCAAATATTTCAATCCGACATTACAGTTTGAAAATGTTTGAATTGTGTCTAACTATAGGATCTGTGGAAGAAGTGATGGGGATAAATTCAGATTTTCATATTACAAATCTAGAGATATGTTTTATCATTATTAATATATGAATCAAATACAAAGGCCGTAGGAATTGCGACACTAGTTTGTCGATAATCACAATAAAATTTGCGGAGCAAATCATTCAGTGTAGAAGCTGATCACATAACCTATGTATGAAATTCACAATGGCCGATGTATCAGTAAACAAGGTGAATGTAATCTGTTAGTTTGAAAATATTCTTCACTTTGCCTATACATTACATAAAAAATAGTTTAGTTGAAATAAAGTGGAATCATGTAACAGAACGGTTATATTAATTGACAAAAATTGTATAACCCCTTATATACGATCTTAAGTGACTGAAGTGTTCTATTAAGTACGCCTATTCCGCTTGTATAGCTGTATGTACTAAGAACGCTTTATCCATGCTCTTTCTTGCAACGTTCAATGCTGCGTAAAGAATAGTGTATAGACGTTCTTGCAACCCTTATAGGAGTGATAATAAAATTGTCAGTTGGGCATATAGCGCCAATGCTGACCATACTCTGCCAATAGCCTCCATAGGTATATCGGTGTTGGCGTATGTTGCCCCAGCGTGAAGTTGGGATATAAAATATAACCGCAGGATGAGTTTAAGGGGATACTTGATTTAGCTTAGTCCTTAGTTCCTTTAAGAAAATGTGCGTATAATTCATGTGAGGGTAATGCGAGCAATAATACGATTGCTGCCCCACCCTGTATTGTACAATAAGCGCACTAATCACTGTTTATTACTGGATTTATGTTAGCAGGACGCGGGTTATGCAATTTTGGCCGCTATGTACCAAATATATGCAAACAGTTATCGCTTGTCTACCCACCAGTTACAGCCAAACCAAATTGCTCCACGAGAACTTCGAACGCCTTGTTTGAACGAAGCTTGTCACTTTTAATCCCCACTCAACTTAAGCCCAAGAAAATGCAAGCGCATCCATCTGTTACATACATGGACGCATTGATTTTTGAGTAATAAAAAATAACACTTTTTACTTGTCACTGCAGACAGTGAGTAAATAGTGTAACAAGAATCCATATAATTAATCAAATTCAAGCGAATAACCAAATGAAAATGGTATTTACCATTTTGGATTGGTATTTACCGATACGTTTAAGCGAGTATGGTTATCAGTTTGATTATAAGATCCGTGACGCCATGAATCAGCTGTTATGTGTCATAGTTATCACCACAAAATTGTGGTATTTACCCAACTCAGGAGTAGATTTATATTTCTGCTTATTATTTGAGATGTGAAAAGTTCTAATTTTGCCCGGTATTTGATATTTTTGTTGTACTTCAGCTTCATTTTTGGGAAACTTGACACAGGCTGACTTCAGTTGCAGCATAAAGTATAGCACCATATTAGTTATACTCATTACTGTTGTTGGGGACACTTTAAATCTAGTTCCTATGCTTAACAAAGTATCCTGTGTAGCCATATACCACAAGAATATTAAGATATGGCCATATACACTCGCTGGATAATGCCCACCTATATACGGTTTTGCTAATAGATTTTTTCATCGCTTTTTCTTATCATTTCTGCTAAATCAATAAATGTTTTCTTTGACATGCGGAAGAGTTTAGACACTTGAAAGTTATCATAGCTACAAAGCCATGGTTCTATCATTAAAAATTATTTTCTGAAAAAAAACATTTCTATCATTAATATTAGTAAAAGGTTCCTTTTTTAAACTTTCCATACACTGTTGTAGACGAAAAATCACCGAATATTAAGTGATGATAGAAATAATCAGAAATTATATACGCGCTTTTCTAAAATAAACAGCTTGCAACAAAACCGCGGTTAAAACTAACGCGTTCAAGCGATTCGAGTAACTGACGTCATTAACCCCTGTGTCATCTTAAATCATATTATAACCGCGGTACATAACACAGAAATTTTGGTTATTCGCTTGGATTTGATTATTGTTTCCACTCTTAACACTTAATATCACAAAACATTCCGTTTTGATCACGACCTTGACGTTCCCAACTCATTTTACAGAAACTTCAAAACATCTAGTTATCTGAGAAATTAGTGTATGTCACAGAAAGCCGATTTGGCTCGAACTGGTCCATCCTAGGGACGTGAGATATAAATGTTTTATTTTATTAACCTTAAAAGCCCTGTTCAAACAGTATGTCGATTGTTAGTGTGCTCAAAATGGAGAACCACATAAGGACCTATAACAAAATTACTTATTTCTCAATCGTCCCGAATATTTCGAAATATAAACTTCAATTATCAAATTGAGACAATGG